ATATATATATATATATATAAAGTAATTCAATTCAATTAATGGTAGGTTTAGGATTATTTCTGATATCTATATATATTATATATATATCCAAGCAGTTTTAGGATTTTTTCTTTCAAATCCTTATCAGAGTCCAACTCAACTCTTTAATCCTCCATTATATTATAAATGCCTGATATTCCATTCTTCCCAATCACTTATCTCTCTAGCCAAACCATAGAAATCAGAGAAAAAGCCTTCTTTCCAAGAATCAGAAAGAAACATTATAAGTCGCTGATTTGAGAAGCTCATTAAGTATTGTTTGTGTCAACATGTCAATGGAGAACGGAGAAGAGTATGAATATGAAATACCAATAGGATATAGATTTTGTCCAACTGATGAAGAACTCATTACTTATTACTTGCTCACGAATCTTGAATCATCCACTCCCCTCCAATGACTATGTCAAAGAAGTAGATATATATAAGCACACTCCTGACGAACTTCAAGGTAATTTCTCTTCTTGTCACTCCACGTAGTTTCGTCTTTATTAACATAAATAAATATACATATATATATACTCAAACATATATATGTCTAGTAATTATAGTCCAGCACTCGTTGCATTTGATAATATATGTTGCTGATTTGATCAATATAATACATAGAGTTGGCCGATGAAATTGCACCGCCATTTCATGTTAGCCATTTGCTGTTGTTGTTGATGTTTTTTTTTTTTTTTTTAAGAATTTTTTTCCCTTGTATACTGTATAGTAATAATACAGTTCACTTGCTATATATCTACAGAGAAATATGGCACGCGGAGAGAAGTTGAGATGTATTTTCTCACCAAAAGAACGCCCATAAGTGCAACCGCAACTCGCCCCAGCCGTACCGTAGCTAAGGGTGGATATTGGAGAGCGAGTACTCAAAAGAAGCCCGTAAATGATTCAAATGGAAAAACAATTGGATATAAGACATTGTTCAACTACTTTCTTGCTAAAGGCAACATGTCGACTTGGCTTATGTACGAATATATCCCTCAATCCGGTTCCGCAAAGGTATTTATCAACATACATGATTTGAATACAAGAATTCAGTGTTGTTATAATTTGCCAGATAAATTTAGCAAATTGTTTTAATTACAAAGGCAACTAACTAGATCTTTATTTTTTCCACAGGTGGATGAATTTGTACTGTGCAAGATCTACAATAAAAGAAGTGAACAGAAGCACACAAATGCTGCTCGAAGGGAACAGCCTCGCCGTAACATGATGCAGCCACAAGCACCAATTACTTATCAAGTCGATGACGTCGTACTTGCTGAACCGAACGTTGCGCCACAAGCACAGCCAACTTTTCAAGTCGATGATTATGTCCAAAGCGTGCAGCCTCAAACACTTACTCATGAATATTCTCTCAATAATATTGAGTGCTTCACAATGGAAGAACTTTGTCGAATGGCCGGGATTGTTTCCTCAGAGGAGCCTAATTATGTATGTGATTATCAACCTCCGGTTCCGCAACAACCTGCTTGTGACATTCCAACTCATGATGATCTACAATTTGGTCGACAATACATGGAGGCACAACAACAAGAACCTTCTTCTGTTATTCTTAGCGATGTTGATGTTGAATTTGCAGAAGAATTGGAGGCACAACTAGTAAAAGAACCTTCTTCTGAAACTCTTAGTGTCGCTGATCTCGAATTTGCACAAGGATTGGAGGCACAACTACAAGAACCTTCTTCTGAAACTCTTAGTGATCTTCATGTTGAATTTGAACAAGTATTGGAGGCGTGGACTCTTAAAGTTGCAAAACAATTTGAGTCACAATGGCAAGAACCTGCTTATGATTTCTCACATGATGCTGATCTTCATCGTCACAAAATTAGAAGATTAGCGTCAGCATGAATAATCATCTACATGTTTCGAAAGGTTTCTTCTGTTCCTTCAATAAATATAGCGGGTTTTCCCGAATTCTCTTTCCTGTATAAGGGACTTATACGGTAGCGGTCTTCTACAGAAACACAAAGACTGAGATGGACATTAGCATCAGCATTTACTTCTTCGTCCGATCATAGTTATATTCTGCAGCGACAAGTAGACGTAGCTCTCACAATTCTCTGTGTCTTTTGTTTTCTTTTTTTCCTACTTGTTTTAAGCTTATTGTTAACTGTAGAAATTTGGACATTTAATTCCTAGTATGGTTCACGTACAATTACACATAAAAAAACAAAAACAAAAAAAGAACCCATATGGCAGAGCAACATAGCAGAAGTTTAAATAGTTCTCTACTTCTAAGATTTTTAAGAGTCCAATTCGTTGAGGAAGTAATTCAAAATACCAGAAGTAAAAAATACTTATATTACTATCACATCAACATCACAACATTCTACTCTTGATGAACAAATCGTTTCAATCGTTTGATCACAATTTTATCATTGAGAATCCGTAACACAATTCTATAAGATGTTATTTCACATCTTAAATTCAATTTTCAAATATTTTTATTCAACGCGCTTCAGATTAGGAGCTCGGATACTGACTTTTTCATTCTCTACGCCAAGCTAATATTTCAATTTTGAAATATTTGGTTCATATGATAGTATAGTTGTTTTTTGGTTTATTTAAGACTTAAGATTGAAATAAGAATACACATAAATATCAAAACTCAAGGTATGATTGATATCCAAAGATATCTTGTCAATTAGAAGTTCATACTATGGGCAGAAGCGATGAATACTGCTTGCTATACAATCAACAGGGTGTATCTCAGACCACATACAAAGCTTACTCCCTATGAAATCTAGATGCGTAGAAAACCAAACCTGAACTATTTTCACATTTTTGGGAGTGTGTGCTATATACTAAATGATCGGGATCAGCGTGGCAAGCTTGATGCCAAAAGTGATGAGGGAGTGTTTCTTGGTTACTCTACTAGTAGCCGAGCCTATCGAGTCTACAACAAGAGAACACAGAAGATTATGGAATCTGTGAATGTAGTGGTGGATGACCTTAAGGAGGTAGTTAGAAGGGCCTCTGATGATGAAATTTTTGAAGATATTAGGACTAAAGATCAAGACAGTAAAAAACAATTTGTTGAAGAAAGTGTCACAGAAGATGTTGTAACACCGGTTGAGACAGATTCACCAGAAGCCGAGATAGAAGTATTTGATGCTGCAGATCCTACCACCAGAGAACCATCCTTCAGAATTAAAAGGAATCATCTAGTTGAAGGGATTATTGGCAACATTAATGAAGGGATTTGCACTAGAGACAAGCCTAGATTGAACTACCGTGACATTGTGAGATATGTGTGCTATACATCCAAAATGGAACCGAAGAATATGAAAGAAGCTTTAGAAGATGAGCTCTGGATAAATGCCATGCAGGAAGAATTGGGACAGCTTGAGAGGAATGATGCGTGGGACTTAGTTCCACGACCAAGTAACTCTAATGTTATTGGCACTAAGTGGATTTTCAAGAACAAGACAGATGAGCATGGAAATGTTACAAGAAACAAAGCCAGACTTGTAGCTCAGGGGTATACTCAAGTAGAAGGAGTGGATTTCGATGAGACATTTGCACCGGTAGCAAGACTTGAATCAATTCATCTTTTGCTATCATTTGCCTGTCTGATGGGTATAAAAATGTTCCAGATGGATGTTAAGAGTGCATTTTTGAATGGTTTTCTGGATGAAGAGGTCTTTGTTGAACAACCCAAAGGTTTTGAAGATCCACAGCACTCCGACCATGTGTACAAACTGAAGAAGGCACTATATGGGCTTAAACAAGCACCAAGAGCATAGTATGAACGACTGACTGAATTCTTGAACAAGAAGGGCTACAAGAGAGGGGGAGTAGACAAGACCTTGTTTATCAAGAAATTTGGAAATGGGATCATCATAGCTCAGATTTATGTGGATGACATTGTGTTTGGATCAACATCACAAGCAAAAGTGGAGGAATTTGTTGAACAAATGAAGAATGAGTTTGAGATGAGCATGGTAGGAGAACTGACTTACTTTCTTGGTCTGCAGGTGAAACAAATGAAAAATGGAATCTTTATTTCACAAAGTAAGTATGCAAGAAATTTAGTTCATAAATTTGATCTAGTAAAGGCTAGGCACATGAGAACACTGATGGGCACCAATGAGAAGTTGATTAAAGATGAAAATGGAGTCGCTGTCGATCCAACTCTTTATCGAAGCATGATTGGAAGCCTCTTGTATTTAACTGCAAGTAGGCCTGATATAAGCTTTAGTGTTGGCGTGTGTGCTAGATATCAGGCAAACCCCAAAGAATCACATTTGGTTGCAGTGAAGAGAATTGTTCGATATGTTAGTGGAACGGTGGATCATGGGATTTGGTTCTCAAGTGATACAAATTCTAGTCTTGCAGGGTTCAGTGATGCGGACTGGGCAGGCAATGCAGATGACAGGAAGAGCACCTCAGGAGGCTGTTTCTACTTAGGTAATAATCTGGTTTCCTGGTTCAGTAAGAAATAGAATTCGATCTCTTTATCAACTGCAGAGGCTGAATATATAGCGACAGGAAGTTGTTGCACTCAATTGTTGTGGATGAAGCAGATGTTGGAAGACTATGGTATTATACAAGATGTACTGACAGTTTTTTGTGATAACACCAGTGCTATAAATATTTCAAAGAATCCTGTTCAACATTCTCGAACGAAGCACATTGATATTCGACATCATTTTATCCGAGAATTAGTGGAGAACAAGACTGTCGTGTTGGAGTATGTAACTACAGAGAAGCAACTAGCAGATATTTTTACAAAGCCTCTTGATGCTGTTCGGTTTGAGGCCTTACGGACAGCTTTGGGCATTTGTGTAACGTAATTGTTCTTAGTTTTTTTTTTTTTTAAAAATGACATTGCGTATTGGGTGGGAGCCGTGTGTTATAATAACCGGCCCCTTCATTTGAAATTTCCAGCCCTAATTCTTTGCTTTACTCCAGAAAGTTTGCTCTCCATATTTCTCAGAAATTTCTCCAAAATGGTGAGGACCCGAAGCAATCGAGTGTTCAATCAGTTTTCCCCCAAGAAATCTTCCGTGCCGTCGAAGAAGGTGAAGTTTTCTGCCCCACGACAAGATGCTCACGCCTTTGCTGAAAACGAACCTATCCCACTTGCTTGCCTTCCTCCGTCAGCCATTGTTCCTTACTCCAAGGCTCCATTTTGCGACGAAGGAGATGAGATTTACTCTACTCCACGCGGGTCTTCAGAGCAAGAAAGTATTGCTCCCATTGCCCCTTTATCTCCGTCTCCTGACGTGCCGAATTTGGGTGAGAATCGGTCACCAACCAACTCTTCTAAGCCTCCGAAGGTTGTTGCGGATCAGGTGTTTGATGAAATGCCACAGAGAGATAATCTTCCGGATTTATTGAAATTTGTAGCAAGACCGGGTTTTTCATGTTGGAGCTCTCGTTCTCATGCATTCCAACAAGGTTTGAGGCCACAGTTTACACCAAGTGTTGACAACCAGAATCCTGAGTCATCTTCAAAGAAGCGGTCTCGATCTTTTAGTGAAGAATCCCTACACCCATGTGTTCTTTCTTCGGATGATGAGGAAGAAGTTTTACTGGAAGCCATGGAACCAGTGGAAAAGGAGAAGTCTTCTCAGCAATCAACAAAGAAGAGGAAAGAAAAAGACACACCGTTGCCGAGCAGAGTCACACGGTCTGCAGTAAAGTGTTCCGCCTCTGTTCAGAAAGGTTCGGGTCCTCCACAGAGCACACGAACAAGACTAACGCACCTGGTACATCCTCTACTTTTTACTCAGAATTAAATAAGAAAGTATGGGACTCAGTAGTGCAGAGAAAATTTTTGTCTAAACGGCTATTACATGTAGCCGATTTTAGGGAGTTAGGCATTTTTGATCTTCTTAAAGCACAACATCTACTTGGAACGGTGACTAGGGTGCAGCCTTTTGTGAAAAACGTGGTTTATGAGTTTTATGCTAACTTGGTAGAAGAGATGAATAACCCTGCATCTGATATGTATCACAAAGTGTTCGTCAGAGGTCATTTGTTTAATTTCTCTCCTGTTGTGATCAATGACTTCTATGAAAGTAATCGGCCGGTTTTGAACAGAGAAGTTGATTTTAATGTCATTATCGCTGAAATAACTGCCAATGTGTGACGTAAATGGCCTCCTGTAAAGTCTTTTCCTGTAGCAGAGTGAAGCTTGAAATACTCTGCCCTTCATAAGATTGCTCTGAAAAATTGGATGCCAAGTATGCATGCAACAGGAGTAAAGAAGCCTTTGGCAAAGCTACTCTTCCTGATTGGTACTGCTACTACCTTTGATTTTGGGCAGTTAGTGTTTGATCAGATCATCAGCAATGCTGAAGCCACAATCACTCATCTGGTTCTTCCTTTCCCTTCCCTCATTTATGGGATTCTAACGAAGCAACATGATGTCAAGAAGTCGGATGAGTTGTTTGAGAAGGCGTTGTATTCACAGTAAACTTCGAGCTTAAAAACTTGTTGAAGAGGAAAAAAAAAAAGATGCTATGAACACAAGGCTTGATCAGAAGAATATGTCTTCAAACACCAACTGCAACTTCCGGAGGCATGATCTCTTGAGCATGTGCAATAAGTTCCGGCGCATTCGTTTCGGGGTCTTGGTTGATCTTCGCATTTTGGTCCTGGCTTTGTTCAGCTTCTCTAAGGCATTCTTTTTCATTTTGTCTTTCTTTGGCGGCAGATTTTGCCTTCGTCTTTACAGGCTCAGGCTCGGCTTTGCTGGCTGC